CATGAGTAAAGATTCCACAAGCTGCCTCAAAATATGCAGTGCCACCTAATAATTTAAAAATAAAACCAGAAATATGGAGACAAAACAAACAACACCGATAGGTTGAAATCTAAAACTGAAAGGACTTATTCTTTTTCTTCTGCCACTCAATTTTTATACTGATAGATTTGAAAAATTTTTTGACTGAAAAGGTTTGTTCTTTTACCATTACCACAGCCATACTATCACTGCAACGACATTTCAATGATCAAGTACACAAACACAGAACTGTTGTCACTAGCACTTCTTTTTCTTTTGGGATCTTAAATTGGTTAAATATGAAAAAGATACTTGCAACTCAATGTATTATTTGACAACATACTGATTTTCCGTACAAAATTCTGATTCTTATTTGTTAAAAGAAAAAATACTGGACATCAAAACACATTGTTCCTCTGCAACATCACCATTATACAAATATCACACACATGAACTTTATATATGTAGTCCCCATTCAGTCCCAGCAGAGTCTTTACATTCATGTAGTTTTCCCTCATGTAACAGCAGCAGCACACACACACACGCACACATGCACTTCACCTTCCATACAAGTGCTGTACACAGCTTTTTCCAACATGAGCTAAGGTTCAGCAACACCTAAGGCTGGATGCACGTTTGCTTCGCTTGGTGCCACCACGTGAGCCCTACTGCTGCAACCAGATGCCACTGGAAACACACACAACCCCACTGCCCAGTCAGGTTTACAGATGCTCTTTACATGGAAACAGACTGCTATTATCACAAACCTTACTCTCATTATGTGACTTCTGAAATAGGAAATTACATTGTCAAACCTATGTAAAAGAAACCCAAAGACCCAAATAGAAGGTAGATAGAGGGAGTAAGACCTGTTTTGCACAAATTACCTCTGACAGATTGTTGCTATACTACAGCCATTGCACATTTATATTGCTGGTTCATTAGTTTCAACAGTGTTGTTTTGTTTTATTATTTACTTCCTAGAATAATAATATAATCCCTACCACGTGCTGGTGTATTCACTTCCGTGATCAATACAAAAATCAACCATTATACAAAAGTGCAGAAACCACCCTCAAATCATATTCAACCAAGAATTCCTGTGATGTTTGATAGCTGCAATGACAGAGGACGGACTGAGTAAAGATCACAGATGTACCCTTTATACGAAAGTATAATTTTAAAACCATGCAACTACACCACAAAGTTGTTATAGAAACAGCTAAAAAGTAAAGTCAATGCAGAATCCCCATCCCTCTTAACAATTGCTCAGTTCAACTCAAACATGATGCAAATAAAAATACAGTGATGTAAATCTCTTACAGCCCAGCACAGAATGACATATTGAGAATACACCATTGTCCTTACCATGGCTTAGAATTTCACTGCTTTAGTCACTGAGCCAAAATATCTTCATAGGATTAGGTCCTCTTATAAAATCATCCATTAACACAAGAAAAATCAAAACCACTTCTTTAGTAGCATAAGTTAGGGAAATTACTATTAAATTGTGATGTCTTGAAAACACACACAGACACACCTATACAGGACTAATTTTCAATACTGAAACGTCTCAAGACCTTGCAATACAACAGCATCCCAATCTTTCATTCTAAGAAATACTGCTGACAGGGTGGCAAAGGAAATAAATACAACTATGTCTTCCTTAAATATGACTGCAATAAAAATAAAAATCACATTTCCTAAAAATTACAGAAGCCTTAATTACAGTCTTAACTGCAACCACTTTTTAAAACCTGCATGCCCTCGAGTTGCTATTATTTAGTTAGTATTTTCTCAAATATAATATAACTATGCCTCACCTCCACTCTAAAGCTACACAAAGTTGCTCTCCCCTTCAGAACATAATCACCAAGAAGACTGTTATTTTTTCACATTTTTTCTTTCCAGTGTGAATTATAACACTGTCTAAAGGTTTTAGTCCTTCAACACACCTTTTCCCTCTACATTTAAGGTGGTTTCTCCATTACCAATCAGTAGTGTCCTGATAAACTCTGTTTATATAATGGAATAAGGATCACTACTTTGGTCTTCTCTGTAACAATTACTTCTGTGAGTTTAGGATTTTTTAAAGAAAGTATATGTATTATTCAGGACCTTGGAAAACTACTTTAGTTTCTTGTAAGTTGAATTTCTATGATTCTCAGACTGCCAACCAGAAAGGTAACTAAGACAACATCATTTGGTAGAGATGAGGAAACAAGCTCTCGTATAGTTCTAAACTTGACAACAAAATGGAATGTCTGAAATACTCAGCCAAGCCTTATTAGCATGGATATGATCAGTTAGAATTCATAGCTAAAGATTAGAGATTAGCACTTAAAATATCACTCTGTTTCTCCACATGAAAACTGCTACCAGTCTGTCACTCCTTAATTAAATCTTATTTGTTCCATAATGAGGACTTTAAAGAGTAATAAAATTACTTCACTGGATTCTTCTGTGTCTCCTGAATGTGCAAGAGAGCAAATAAAAAGCCCATTCTTGATATACAAATATGCAATTTCTTTGCAGCAATCACTATGCCTTGCATAACAGACTTAAATGCACATATGTATATATATTTAGATTCATAGATGTATATATTTAGATGAGTATTTGACCCTCATAAAACAACAGGATTCTTATGGAACGTAAAGAAGTACTTAACTATAAAAATGATACTTTATGGCATATCATACAGGTTTTCCTTGAAATGCATGACGTCAAGATGACCATCAGAATATAGGAAGAAAATGCATTTTGAAATATTTCCAATGACATTTGGATATTGCACTAGATTTTGACATCATCTGTATCTACAGTTACTCTGAATTTAAACCAATAAGGGCACACACCAGCTCCAAGCACAGTTAAGGCAAATCTTTTATAGACCTCAATATGTTTTGGGTTCAATACTACATTAAGGTCGGATCACTTCTGGTCACTTTATTTGACCCTGGTACCCATTTGACAGGGATTATAGAGGTGAAACTAATATTAAAATCTGGTACTGTAGATCAGAGCAAGTACTGCAGTCTCATGGCCTTAGTGAATTTAATTTCTAACAGTAGTATTAAGTTAGACATACTAGTATATGTACTTCAACAGATACTAACACAATTTTTTAAACACATATTATAAAATCTATTCAATTTAGTACTTCTCTGCAAATGTTCTGAGCCTGAGCAGAGCATTAAACATGGGTAAAGTAAGAAAAGTTCCCTTTCAGAAGCAAAGTCAGTCACGCAGATGAAACCAAATACCGTGCAGAGAAGGAAATGTCTGTAAGCACTGATTCCATGTGCTGTGAAACAGCCCCAGTGACAGGCGGCACGATTTGCAACAGCAGCCAAACACAGCGCATCTCACCTGCTCATTTCACGTGAAAGGCGCGAGCGCAGTAAGCACAAGTGCAAAGAGGAGTTCACTGAAACAGCATCACTTTACACGTGTTCACGGCATCAACAACTTTATAAACCTAGAATAGTTTTGGCCTTCTGCTCAACTTTCATTTTTTCTTTCCTCTTCTGTACACATCCCGTTTCTACTCATTTTCATGGTAAGTTCTACATTCATGTCCAATGCCTTCAACAAAACTGGTATTTTACTCTCACACACCAGTTACCAAGACCAGCAGAAAGATGATATACGAATATGCAAAAGAAAGCCAAACTAAAATTAAATTAAAAGCTAATTCATCATTATATATTGTGCCAAGTTCTGAATTGAAGTACAAATATTGAAGAAAGTTGAAATTAATTTCTTATTACATTTCCCTATAAAACTCCCAACTTGCTAATATGCAGAAATAGAAACTCTGAATGTAGTTTGTAACTAGTCTATAATTCAGACAGTACTAGAGCCAGTACGAAACCAGAGGACCTGAATAGGAAGTGTAAAGTTAATAAAAGCCACTTAAATCAGTATATTAGTCATTCAAAATACACACATTTATAAAACAAGAGTACATTTTATATGTGCTAGTTCAGGGGATTGTATGTCATCACAGCTCAAAGCCTTAACATTAATGCAAACTGATTGCAGATTAATGCAAGCCATCACACAAGAAAACCTCCTTGGTAATCTGCCATGATAAGGTGGTCATGGTCAGCAACTTTATCTGCTCAAAAATGTGATTTGTTAACAGTTCTGCAATGCATTACAATATTTCATCATTATAAGCATTTTTTCAATTTCCACAAAGAAGAAAACCTTCTAGTATGTAGCAATCTCAGTTGTTGCTTGTAGTCAATGAGAAAACAGGATTTTTTAAACACAGAAGAAAACATGAATGTACAAATATTATCCATTGTGCTACTTCATTTTACCATAACAGCTCGTTCTCTGTGTGTAGTATGTTGCCATAAAAGGAAATAGCAATGTACATCCTTATTTGATCTTAGTATGTAAGAAACTTCATCCATAATCATCAGGTCTACATTGTCTTTTTTCAGAAAAAAGCAGCACTCTTTGCCTGATCAGTTTATTCTTAAGCAAGAAAGAACTGGTGACCTGTGCTCTCACATTTCCCATGGTAATTGTTTTCATTGTTTATTCAGTGAACTATGAACTCCAGAAGAAAAACAGATCTGTGACATTTATTATTAATCTATGTTAATAATGCACAACAATAAATATAAATCACAAAATAAGAAATTAGTAAGACTGTCAAAAAACCTTGCCCCAGGTTTTTTGTTTGTTTTTGCTGAGAACATACTAGACATGTTGGAAACTACCGTGACTCAAATAGAAAATTTAAACATGAAAAGGTACTAGAAAAGTAAGGCAATTAAACCACATGTAATAACACACCAGTCAAACTTCACTGGATTTCCCAAACTACAAAGATGCTTTCACTCTCTTCTATTGCTTTACTGGTAGAAATTTAGCATTGGACATATAGATATGCAAGAAGACTTAAAGTAAAGAAAGGTAAGAAATCAAAGAGTCTGAGCTATCACAAGCTCATTATTTGATACCTTGCTCTATACTGCCACTTCTTACTGGAACTTGTGGTAGCTGTCTTCCCCTACGACTGCTGAAGGAGGTGTCTGCAGGAGGAGACTGCGTGGGACTTCCTTGCTGATGTGCTCTGCAAATGAAATTGAAATTAAAACAAAATAAGGCGAATGAAGACACATTTTATATTCTGATTTTTAAACACAAAACAAGTTGCAGATACTGAAGATAGGTTTGAAAAAGTTTGCATTTGGTCTATGCCATATGCACATATTCAGGTCTAGATACGTAGTGAACTTAAAAGGTCTTACATTTAATTTCTTTAACTACCTTCAGCTATAGAAGAATTACTTCCTTTCAGTTTTTTGTTTCTTAAACTTATTCATTTATCTGTGGGTTTGTTCTGGTTTGGGTTTTTTTGCCATTTTGGGAATTTTTTTTTTGATAAAGTAATATTGAAAAACCATTGAATGGAAAGCAGTTTTCTAAGAGCCACTTAATGATTATTACTCACAGTTTATATATATTCTCCTGCACTGGTACAAGGGCAATATAAAATGCCACTTTTATGTTTTATTAAATTTAGTATTCCCTTTATGATGATGCAATAATTGCACAAGGCCACTGGACAGCAAGCATCTACTTCCATAGGACAGCCGGTGTTTTTTCCCCGAACACGAAGAAGGAAAAAGAGTTTTAACATTTATATTGGGGTGGGGAAAGGGAGGGTGTGTGTGCATGCAAAAGACTTTTAATATGCATATCTAAGTAAATATCCTAAATCACTTTGGCTGAATTCTAGCTAGCACTGTTTCAGAACATTTTGGCTACTTGATGCCTTATTCACAGATACAGTTTCAGAGTGCAAAGCATCAAATACCTTTGGAGCCTTAACATTTAAAATAAGTATGGGCACTTATTATAACTACAGGGAAAAGGTTTGAGAAAGTAAAACCAAGATGAGAAGCCACAGATTACTGAGGAGTGCTTACTGTGAAATGCCTTTGCCAGTTACAGTAATGTCACACTCACTATAGTGCATAAGCACTGTTTATCCAGTTGCAAGTAGATCATTTGTAGTTTAGAGTAGCACATTTGTGCAACTTCAAAATACTGTTGGCTTTCACTAGGTAGATCAACTGATTTTCTCTCAGCCTGTAAGATCAGTGTTTGCTGTGTTCACACAGCAAACATGAGCTAACAACACATACAATAAAAGCACAAGCACAGAGTAGGCTATGAATACCTGGGTTTACCACAAAAGCATTTCTGTTTCTAAAACATACCTTTTTTTAATTAAAAATATTAACTGCATTTCAGTTAGTGATCTAAAAAAGGAAAATATGGAAGCACACCTGTGATTCCCTTAATTTCCTTTACAGTTGAAATAGAAAATCTATTTAAGTACCTGTAAGTACTAAAAGAGAAATATAGTTCTAAAGGAACTCAAATGAAAGTATAACTAATATTATGCAGTAAAGTGATTGATCACGTTAGTATAATAGACCATAATTATTACTAGTTCCATAGACTAAAAGATAACCAGAAGCATTTTCAGTTTGTAGAATGCCAAAATATTCTAACTGTGCCTTTTTACTCTTGTTTGGCTTTCCAACAGGGCAGCCTTTTGTGAATGGTAATACTGTATCAGAAATTACATCAGAAATTTCAATTCTCATGCCATCATTTCATTGTGGGGTGGTGTGTTGGGGTTTTTTTGTTTGTTTGTTTGCTTGTTTAATTTCTGCTGACTTATGAAATCTCCCTTCAAACACGCAGCACAGTTTCCCCACAAGATACAGTCAAGGCATCCAAGGAACTGTCTGGTTGATATGACTATCATACACTAAGAAGTAATCCTAAAAAAGCCCCTATATATGAAATAACACAAGGATGCCTACCAAGGACAACAAACAAGTTTGGATTAAAACTAATTTCATCAGTAACAGTCCCTGTGGAAGACCAGTCACAATGTAAAAAAACCCCAAGATTCTGCTGCTTGAGCTTGTATTCTCTCTCTGAAATCCTAACATTTCTTCAGCTAACTGCTGGCTTGCCCTAGTGATAACCATAACATTCTTGCAGATACTGAATTTCCTGATTCTGAAAGATGCTTACAACAACAAAGATGATCTGACTTCTGAAAATTTCTGTTTCTCATGCTGACTACAAAAGTAATCCATGCCACCTATTGGACATAACCAGGTTTTAAGCATCTATCAGATGTCTAAACATCATAACATCCATAAGGTAAATATGGACCTTACTCTGTGCCAGAAAGTTCTTGTTTGCTTTTAGTATGGATAAATGCTTCAATCTAACAAAGTCATCATGTTATCAGTTCTGATGTTTTGCTCAATATCCAGGAATTTATCTGAGAGCCCAGCAAAACACTAGATGTCTGTCCTGCCATTACAGAACAGGACAGGACTTACCTGCAGCTCAGAAACTTATCTCCTTCTCCAGTAATACTCTTTTTACAGACATGCCCCCTTCCAAGAAAGAGACAGAGGATCTGCTTAACTCAAATGAAGACAAATCAGGCATAAGGTTTGGATTACCTGGGGTATTAAAACAAGATTAATATGCCTCTTGGGGTGCAAATAGAGAGAGAGACAAAAGGCAATTGAAGAATAACTAGAATGGCATTAAGGACTTGCTGCCCTAGGAGAAAGATCTGTTGCTTGCAGGAAGAAGCCTGCAAATGGCTGATCAGAAGAATGAGACGAAGAGGAACATGGAACAAGTATGGAAGACAAAAGCTAGAGAGAAGATGAGACAGAAATAGAAAGAGAAGAGGAATCTGGGAAAAAAATGCTACCTGGTGAGCAGTGAGACTGCAATGAGCACATACATGTGTATCTCCTGGTTCCTCACAGAGGAAGGAGACACTACAAGCAGCAAACCTATTAATTCAGCTGGAAGTGGCCTATGGGGGAATCCCACAGGTTCCAGCTCTGCCAGTACACAAGAAAACTCAAATTCTTTTCCTTTCAGACTGATGCCTCAGTGGCATGCTGCTACCTAAGAAACTCTAAAGAAAAACTAAGAATAAGTGAGGGTCACCAATCCAGCTCACCGTTGGAACAGTGTCCTATGCCAAATAGAGAAAATACAGATCAAGACTGCACGTATCCTAAAATATATGACAGGCAATGTCACATCTGGTAATTCTAGGGTTAGGGCTGAAAGAAAATATTTTTGAATTAGGATAAATAATTTTTTGCTCATTCATAAAAGAACAGAAAATTATTTTTGTGTAATCAGCTCTACTCCTTCAGAACAGATTACTGAATCCCATCTAGAAGGCTTATCTCATTGAATTAGAAGAATTTCTAGGCTTTATAAACTATATTCAAAAGGCAGTTTTTCTCTCTTTTATGTACATTTCCTAAGCTATCACACTACACAGAAAACTTAATCATACATAGCATGTTGAAATGCCTTATAGAGAAGCTGACAGCATATTGATAGGTTATTCCAGTAATCTGCTTAACTAATAGTAGAAAGGATCTGCAAATGGCAAAATAAAGCCCAATTGTAAGAGAAAAAATGAATATTTGAAGAAAAAATAGTCTCAAGTTATATTTGACAGGAAAATTCATTGCCTGTCATATCATTAAAATTTTCTGGCACTAGTACAATATTACATCTATGATGGAATACTGAACTACAGAATTCAGACTTACTGAAACATTTCTGTCTCACATCTAATGCTAGTGAATAATTTTATGGAAACAGAAGCCTACACCAGGTAGCATGGAGATGTAAAAAGAAGCAGTACAATTTGTGTTTCCCTATGCTCTTGTTCCCTGGGTTCATTGCCAAATTGCCAAGAGCCAAACCCCTTAGGCATCAGTTAGTTTTCAGAAGTCAGAAAAAACAGTGAAAAAAAAAGGTTTTAGTAATCTCCATGGCATAAAAGCCCCTGATTCAATCATAGCAAGGATTTCAGTCATCATTTAGGTAATCTCTCTGACTCAAATTGAAAAAGCACCTGGGTTGTTGTGACAACAGAATCATCTGACTCGAGGAAAATGTAGGCATTGCTTTTGGATCAGAAACAATAATCTGGAGCCAGAAGCAGTAAACTAAAAAAAGTGCTTAAGTTTTGCTACATAATGTGCATTTTCATTGAAAATAGAGATGTCTGCGTTGTTCAAGGGAGTTTTAAAACTCTTGCAACGTAAACAGATGTACTCTCCACATCAGTCAATTTCTGACAAAGGCAGGATCTCATCCCTCCTCCCTGTATATTTCAGTCAATATACAAGGTTTAAAACTTAACTAGATGTACTTAGTATTCAGTATATATCTTTATTTTTCTACACATATATCTTTCTTGTTTATATATATTTCTATTTTATTAATATCTTTCTATGAATATATTTCTATTATATTTTATATATCTATATTTTTCTATTTTTCTACTTTTTCTAAAGATTTTGAACATGTAACCGCATACTACTGTAACATCAAAGTTAAGACAGAATGACAACACAAATTCAGAAAAATTCTATTAATTAAAAAAGTACCAGTCTTTCTATTAATTTTATGAAGTTATAGATTTAAATGTTTAACTTAAAATTTTTATACATTAAAGTGAAATTTATTTGTTCAGGGGCATTTTGAATTATTTATCTGTTATAGCTGTCTATCTGTTTATATAATCAATTGAGGTTTTTCATCCTCAAAGTTAATGTAAAATAAGGATTTTTTGGAAAAAGAATCAGTGTTACAGTGCAGAAAAGCACTTCTAGTCTTTGCCACTGAGCTTATCCGTAATGATGGAAAATGCCAGAAAAATTCCATATGTATGCAACAAAGTGATAATAATACAGATACAAAATATATAATACTGTAAATTATGGCAACATAGCTTTCAGCCATAGATGCTCTAAAAAATTTGTATTAAAGGTGTATTCCAAAATCTGGGATCAAAGTGATAACAAGAGATGCTTACACATCAATCAACACTCCTACCTTTCTGCTTCAGCTGCAGGGCCTTTCCTAGCTTGTTTTTGGCTGCTATATCTTTCCACTTTTCTGGACTGCCTGTGAAATGACATGTCAGAAAAGAAATAAACAAAGAAGAAAAAGAATACAGAAACATGAAGATTATTCATTCATGTATTAAAAAGGTAACAAAAGAAACAGTTGGAGATGAGAAAGTGAGAACTATCATCATAAACAGGCTGGTGAAGTCTAGGTTTAAGATACATTTCATTAATTAGGTTTGATTGAGGCTCATGGTGTGCAGCTGATGAGGTACCAAAGCAGGGAAGAAAACATTAATCCTGACTGAGCCTGCAACTAGTTTCGACCTCACAGCCTGCATTTGACTAGAAACAATGACTCCTCATAGCCCTATAAGGCATCGCTCAACAGCATAAGAAACAAGTTCAGAGTAGAAAGCAGGAAAAAAACCTTGCAGAAAGAAACAGAAAATATTATTTGAAGGTTTAAATAGATCTAAAAATTTCTTTTAGATCTAATTATATCAGATTTAAAAAAAGCTGTCACCATATTAATAAAAACTTGTTTTTTTCAAAAATCTCATTCTATTACCTTTTAAAGTTTTTAGAAACAGATTTAACTAATTCCATTTTCTTCTTAGTCAATATAAGTAAGTTTGAAATTATTTCACTCCTTCACTCCTTTCCTACACAAATCTTTTACAGAATTCATCTGTCATTTGGATAATGAGGCACTAGTTACCTCAGACAATCTAAGAACTCCCTTTGATATTAAATAATAACAATGGGGAGGAATATAAGTCTACACATATAAGAACAAAGGTAAAGCCACGTTTCACCATTATTACCCAGGACTAAATATAATAAATAAATCTCTGTAAATCTTGTGTTCCAAAATTTTCTGTACTATCCATAGTAATGTTAGTATTTACAATTAGGATTTACTACTTTAAACCTCAGAAAACCACCAATATGCATTATTTTTTTTAGAAGAAAAAGTGCATACAGTGTTTCAGGAGCAGTAAAACCAGGGACTGATGATTATTCAATCCTAGTCCAGAAATGCTGACAGATTTTAATACATGCAAGATCTTGCAATGATACAATCAATGTCATATATATTAGGCTAAATAAATTACTGGGCAAAAAAGAGAGACAAAAATAACATTTAAAATAGTATGTTTTCCTTTTAAATCTTTGTGGCTATAAAGAGTAATCCAGTGCCTGAATGGGAAGAGACCTAAACAGCTGTGACAGCAAACTATGCCCAAAGAACATAATCCCAGTGTATTTTCATTATTTTTACCCACTGCAGTTCTTGATGAGCATTTCATTGTGATGCAGTAGACTGTATAAGAAAGAAAACACTGCATCAAAATACAAAATACTTTCTGCATAAGCAGAGGTCACTACCTGATGCTTTTAAAAAATGTATTTTCCCACAAAAAATAGTATGTCAGATTAAAACCAGAAATCCCTTTTATCTTCAATCTATTTTATTTTTTGTATATTCTCATTGTTTTTCAATTTTTTTTCTTTACCAGGACAAATATAAAGTGGATACAGAGGAAAACACACATAATAAATGCTGCAACTTTACTTTAAGCCTATAGTTAGCAAAGCTCTAAAACTTATGGCTAGATAAGTAATGCAGCAGCATTACCATTCAAATTATGTCACCCTCTTCATTTTCTGTTTAGTTGGTTCTGTTTAGGGCTTATTTTTCTCTTACTCCTTATGTTGCTTGCCTAGACTGTGACATTGCATACAACGGAGAAAGAGCTCATAGTGAGTGGTTTCAGTTGGATGGAAAAGCCAAGAGCAGGATGTGCTTTGCTGTGACAAGTAACACAGTAATACACAGCACCAATGAGCTGAGTACATTTATTTCTCTGCTCTCAGGGCTGCCTTGAGAGCAGCACATACTAGAAATTATTGAAAATCAGCTTCCTTTTTGGTTCCTCCCTCTGGCTATGATGATGCTGTATACATTTCTAATTAGCTCAACATGCTCTGACTTACTTCCCATACTTCATAGGAGAAAACAATATTATCCATGAATGATACATGCACATATGTACTAGTACATAAAACCAGGAAAATAAAAAAGAAAATGTGTGAAAGTATGCAGAACATATGAAGAATATACTATAATCAATACCTCTTTTACTTTGATCTATGATTTGAGCAAATAAGGATACCTCTGTGCTGCTCCAGGTTTAGCACTTAGGTGGTCTACACTGTCCTGTTTTGGAATGCAAGACTCCAGCGTCCTTGTTCTTCACAACATTTGGAAACATGGATGTGAATTTGGACGGAATGAGCAGATACAGAGAGATGGTCACATGCAGTGAAGGTGGAGACATGCAGGCAAATATATAAACAAAAAGCATTAAGTCACTGTCTACTGAAAAAAGCTGTATTTTTCATTTTCCTATTCCAAACACTATAAAATTTTAGATGTAAGATCAACACTTCAAGATGTAATGAAGTATAGAATGAAAGCCATGACAGTATTATTTTTAAAAACCTTTATGCTCTACATGCTGAATAGCAGCACTGTTATTTAATAGGTGCTATTAATCTTCTTGAGAATCTATAAACATATAAAAAAACCTCTTTGCTTAAGACAATGCATATTTTGTCATTATATTGTGAAATTCTCCTGAAAATGCAAGTAAGTTTCCTAATTTCATGCATTTTGATGACACCTTCATGTTCTATTGCCACACAGTCTGCTACAGTAACAGTTTTCAGCAACTCAAGAGCAAGTAGAATAACTGAATGAGATTTTCTTTTAATAAAAAGCATAGGAATATTTCTGAATTTCTATGGGATTTTGATTTCTGCTGAAGCCACAGAATTTAACAGCTTTCAATTTGGCAAAAAATACTATTATCCTGTTGGTTTATTATTAGTTTTTAATGAAGTATATTATAAGATCTATGAATGGAATATTTTTTTCAAATACCAAATTTGGATTTTAATGAGAAAACTCTGCAATATTTGTAGTTCACTAATAACCTAAATTTCATAACATATTTGCATCTATACCTCCATTAGAGTCAGGAAAGCCTAAAATTTCTCTCTAAGATCATAAATCCTCCAACTGTCACACCAAATCATTGAACAATAAATATCATATTTAGGCAAGCACTACATATTGTTTTATATACAGATGAGCTATTTACAGTTCATGTTCCAAAGTTCTATGTGCCTCAGGAGGGCACTTGCTCTGCAGCTGGCTTCAGGTGACTCTGGGACAAGCATTCTTACACATGCATGCATGACTGACAAAAGCTACTTCTCTTAAATTAAAATATATGAGCACTCCTCTTTTAAAAAGCTTATTTTATCCAGTCTTGGTTATATGCTGATATTATCAGCAGATTTTTCCAAACAAACAGTCTGAAAAAAAAATTTACCTACCATTAAATGCTCAGCTTACATTCACCTTGTTTTTACCATCATTTAAATTTCACAGACCTCAGATACTCATCTGTCTACACTGTAGACATTAGACATTTAGACTTCCTGATTTCTAATATTAAAAACCAAAAAGCTTTCAAGGAATTATGCTATCAAATCCAATAGAAAAACTATCCTTCAAAATATCTTATAGAAATAAATGATACCAAACATTTGCAAATTTTTAACACTGAAATAATACATAACTCATGTCTTCTTCTCATCAATGTATCAAGGAGTCACTTCCTGATATGGCGAATGAGCAAATTTCAGAAGAAGTCTTGCCAAAGTTTTAGCAGAATTTATGTTCATAGCCATTAGAAATAAATACAATGTTGCAAAAAATTAATTTATCAAAATTGGAAACAATGCATAAGTCATAGATTTAAGAAATGTGTTCAGAAACAGATCTTGATTCCACTCTATATGCAAATTGGACCTATTTGTAATATAAATCTGTAAGGTACTCAAATGAAGAGCAAGATGAAGTCTGTCAAAGTCAATTAATCTGTGAAGTATAATTCAAAAGCTGTGATAAGCAGTTAGTTTGTTACCCCTGCTGATCCATCAGTCATCCCCCAACAGCCACTACACTTCAGTCATCTGATACAATCAAATCTTGAAAAAACTTTCAATATTGAACTGAGTAGTATTGGCCCACTGCAATAACTATGTGAATTAATCAGAACAAATGTAAACTTATAGAGTAGAGAACAAAGATAAAGCACCTTTGATTCCCTCACTGATTTTCTCTCTACAGATTTGCAAAAAAACTCAGTGTTCTCAGAACTTCTCTTAATGTCGGAGAAAATCCTGGAACTCATAGGCTGCAAACCCTCATCAGCACTGAGGGTAGCTCAAATTCCTTCTGTGCTCATCAGTGCCTGACTGCTCATCACTGGGTTTTGGTGACCAGATTGCATGCAAGACTTGCAAACACAGCTAGGCAGTGATTTTTCATAGAAAATTAGACTGCTGTCTACCCATCTCAAAAACCTTGCCATTACAGATTCCACATCCTACAGATGTTTCACTGTAAAATGTTTGCTGGTGGGTGTTAGATGATTTCAGCCTTTCTGCACAAAATTTCAGCTGATGTAAAAAAGCTTACTATTTGGCATTGAGAATGACAGCATTTAGATGAAAACCTTATTTCACTGTTTTTTTCAAGTCCAATACCCTGAAGTCAAAGGCAATTTTTCAATTGACTCAAAAAATGAGAACCAAAATGACTTAAAAATGCCTAAAAGACATAAAGTACATTTCTGAACTCTTAATAGCTGTCCCATCAAAGGGATATGTTGGCAAAATTTCTGGAAATGCAGTATCTGTAAGGGAGGACAGCTTTAAAATTATATTTCACTACTTAAATTCTGTAATTTATAATGCTGTTTAACTCAAATTAAAAAAGGAAATATTACCCACACACAGTTACACTCTTCCCATCTGGTCTGAGTGGAATATTTCCAGTATCAAGCAAACAAGATGAATCACAGTACAAATATCAGTACTGTGGATAGACTTTAGCAGTTCAGGACTGACACCACTGGTATTTCAGTCTTACAGTTTTAAATGCAACTTCTTAACTTCATGTACAGATTATTTACATTA